TCCTGAGTTCCTGCCAGTATCACCACAAATAAATATACATTTAAGATGATCAATTTTATGATTTTTTTACTATAAAAAATCATCTGGGTGTGGTGGCGCACACCTATAATCCCAGAGCTGGGGAGGCTGAGGCAGGAGGATTGCAATGAATTTGAGTTCAGTCTGTGCCAAACAGTGACTTCAAGGCCAGCCTGACCTGCATATCAAGATCCTGTCTCAAAAAACCAAAACCAACAAACAAAAAAAACACAAACCTTGGTTTCAAATATGAGAAAGAAAACCTGGGTAATTTAAGGGAAGCCTGGAAGTCCACTCGGCCTGTGAGAGCAAGAGAGGGCTGGAAGCCCCTTGAGCACCAGAGGTGTGCTTGTCCCTTTGGCTGTGAAGTATCCAGGCTTATATTTCAAGTTTGCAAATATCACAGAAAAGGAAACAGAAGAGGAAGTCCAAGCCGAAGGAAGTCAAAGGCTTGGGTAGCAGGTGCAGGGCCTAAATCAGGACGGGAAGAGCGACGCGACTGCAGACGTGCCGCACTGCAGGAAGAGATGCCGCGCCACCTGAGACTTGATCCCAGTGGCTCGCTCTTACTGAGCGCGCGCATGTGCGTGTGTGTGCGTGTGTGTGTGTGTGTGTGTGTGTGTGTGTGTGTGTGTTTAAGGTCTCTCTTTGGTGAGAGCTAAAAACAAATCTGATTCATATCGAATTTTTTCCCAAAAGTTACACAAAGGGAAGTAATAATGTGGACTGTGAGAATGGAAGCAAAAATCAGCTCTCAGCCCAAGCAGCCAGGAGGATGGGAACAATAGACAATAAGTGTGACTGGGGTGAAATTCATTTCTCAGCTAAGGCCGGGGCTGGCTGCCCTCCTGCTCTATTCTTAGTACCCAGGCAAACCTCTCCCTTTTGGGGACACAGCTCCCTTTCGGTTTGAAACAATAGATGTTCACACTGCATTCCAGATTTTCTGGGTTCTCAGCTTTGTGGAAAATATCGTGCCCTTCTCTCTCCCCCTACAAGACGTGACTGGGCTTTACCCTTGGCAGGGGTCACAGCTATTTCAAGGACATCACTAGGTAAGCTCAGGGCCAGAGCAGTACTGATACAGGGAGGCCCAAACTCAGGACATGGTAGAATCTGCAAAAACAGACTTGCAGGTACTGTTTTGCTTCTGTTTGTTTTTTTGAGTCAGAGTCTCTCTATGTACCTATGTAGTCCAGGCTGGCCTGGAACTTACTATATAGCCCAGGCTGGCACTGAACTCCCAGTGATCCCCCTGCCTCAGCCTCCCAAGTGCTGGGGTGATAGACGTGCACCACCACGCCCAGTAGATTTCTGGGTTTAAACCACTTGCTTGTTAAATGGGAATTAGTGACAATAGCAGGCAAGGACACCCTCCGTTCCTTTGTGCACTGACTTCCATGTTGTGCAAAATACCTGGTTGGACAGGACCTGTGAGTGCCAGGGACAGGAGCACCCCCACCTAGCTTCAACCAAGGGGACATGTTAGGTCCACACACCTGCAAGGACTAAACTAGCTCTGGCTTTGGTTTCACTTAGACCCAGGGAAAGAGCCGACCCTAGGCCCCAGGAAGTGGGGGCCAACTCAGCCAGAGCATGGGAGTGTGGAGTGTGTCAGTTTCTCATCAGAGGACCACAGAATCTCAGGGAGACACTGCCATGGATGCTGATGGCCAGGTGAATCAGGGACTCTTGTCTTCCCCTCTTCACATCTCAGTGCCACAGCTATCTTCTACTGGCATTTAGTAGATGTTTGCTGAGTGAATAGGAAAAATAAATTTGATATCTTTTTGTTTTTGGGGTACTGGGAATTGAACCCATGGCCTTCCCACTGAACTGTACTCCCAGCCTATTTTATACTTCTTGAGACAGGATCTAAGTTGCCCAGGCTGGGCTCAAGCTTGCAGTCCTCCTGCCTCAGCCTCCCAGAGTGGAAATTGGGTGTCTTTATTCACAGCAAAGTAAGCTCCAAGTTTTGCTGTAGAAGTGGCTTCTGCGTTAGGACTGCACCATGAACGCTGAGGTAATGTGTGCTTGAACACAACGGGGTTCCTGCAAATCAAGATAATTCCAGTTCTTCACTTGGCATATCGCTTCCCATCTAAAAGACATTTGTCAGACTCCATCACAGCCAGATTAAGTTAAAGTCAATGAATATACTGGAGTACTGAATGAAACTTTTAGGAAGTCTTGGAAGGGAGGTAGCATGCACTCCTTTCTTCTTCCATTCTTATGATATGATGGCTGGAGCTCTAGCAGGTATTTTAGACCTTAAGGATAAGGCCCACATCCTATGGCTAACAACATGGAAAAGTAGGAAAAGTCTGAGTCCTTTATATCCACGGAGGTGTCATACCAGCACTGCACTGCTTATTTCTTCTTTCTTCAGTTGAACCAAGGATTGAACCAAGGGCCTAGAATGCTAAACTAGGAGCTAGAAGGCTTGTTCTGCATCTCCCTGCCTCTGCTGCTGGGACATGTCACTTCACTCCCATGTTCCACCACCAAGCATCCCCAAAATGTCCCCATGCATTGCAACTGTTACAAATGCATCGCGAGCCCGGTGTGACAGCACAGGCCTATAATCCCAGCATTTGGGAAGGTGAGGCAGGAGGATTTCAATGAGTTCAAGGCCAGCCTGGGCTACATAGTGAGTTCAAAGCCAGCCTCAACTACACAGTAAGCTGCCTGCAAGGCTACAGAAAGCCACAGGATGGGCGATAGGGCTGAACCTACACTAAAACCAGAACAATGGGGCGAGACCCTGTCTCAAAATATCAAAAAAAATTTTTTTTAAATTCATGTTCTATCATGGGTCAAAATTTCACTCCTATTTTAAATAGTATATGAACTGCCAAAGAGACCACTAGAATTTCACTTCTTTTAAGGCTGAATAGTAGGCCATCTTGTGTGTGTGTGTGTGTGTGTGTGTGTGTGTGTGTGTGTGTGTGTTGCTTTTAAACAAAAAAGAAAAGTTGAGCATAGTGGCATGTACCTGTAATCCCAGTACTCTGAGAGGGTGAGGCAGGAGGATCACTGTGTGTTTGAGCCCAGCCTGGGCAACTCAGTGAGACACTGTCTCAAAATAAGAAAGGGCTAGGGATATTGCTCAGTGCACCCCTGATTCAATCCTCAGTACCTGCCCCCCCAAAAAATTTGCACACATCTACATATAAATAAAGCAATAGAAAATGTGCAGCACAAGGTGTTTGGAGTTTGACTCTGTGGTCCTTGTCTAAGACACTATTAGTGTGCCACATATCAGGTGCCACAGAAGAGGTGACACACATAGGCAGTCCTCCAGGGAGCCCACAGACAACCCAGAAGGCAGATACAAGTGGCTTTCATCTCTGGCGATATATGCTGTGACAGAACAGTGGAGGAGATAAAGCCTCCCTCAGGCGTCAGTATGGTTGTACAGAGGCTGACCTTTGACCCGGCCGTTGAAAACAATGGTGGAGTGTTCATCTGGACTGCTGACCTCACTCTGCTCAAACTCTCACAGGGCAGGGGGTGGTCCTGCTGCAGAGGCCACGTAACAAATCACCCCCAAACCTGGAGGCTTACAACAACCACGCCTCACACTCAGGGACTCTGAGCCATCAGTTCTGTCCTGACAGCTCAGTGTCTCTGCTGGAAGCCTGAAGCCAGGCCTAGAGTCACATGAGGGAGGGCCTGCTCAATCCCCTGGCCAATGCCTCTCCGTGTGGCCTGGCCTTCCTCACAGTGTGGTGGCTGGGCCTGAGGTTGTTCACAAGACCAGGTAAAAGTTTAGGCACTCACCTCAGAAGTCATATGGCTCAAATGCCTGTTATCCTAGCACTCTGGGAGACTGAGGCAGGAGGATGGCAAGTTCAAGCGCAGTCTGGGAAATTTAGCAAGACCCTGTTTCAAAATAAAAATAAATAAATAAAAGGGGCCGGGTGTGTAGCTCAGCACTTCCTGGATTCAATCTCCAGCAGTAACCACGAAAAAAAGAAAAAAAAAAAAGGAAGTCATACAGAAGTCAAGCATGATGGTGCACGCTTATAATCCCAGCACTTGGGAAGCTGAGGCAGGTCTATGCTGCCAGTTCGAGGCCAGCCCAGACTACATAGTGAATTCCAGGCCAGCCTAAACTACACAGCAAGATCCTGTCTCAAAAAACCAAAAACCAAAAACCAAAAAAAA